TCGGGGAGGGGGCGGACACTGGAAAAAGTATATAATTATATTTCGTTGAATGGGACGGTAGACATGTTTTTTTGGGGGGGGGGGGTGGGGGTGGGGGGTGGGGGGGTGGTGTGTGTGTGGGGTGGTGTGTGTAGGGGTGGGGGTGGGGGGGGTGGTGTGTGGGGGGGGGTGGTGTGTGGGGGGGTGGGGGGTTGGGGTGGTGTGGGTGGGGGTGTGGGTGGGGGTGGGGGTGGTGTGTGTGTGGGGGGGGGTGGTTTTTGTTTAGAGAAAAGAGACAGCACTATCAACCTAGCGCCCGGTGTATCCTTCCTCAACGGGCCATTTTTCTCGTTAATACTAATAGTTTCGCTGTCTGTCTATCTATCTGACAAGAACGCTCTGTCTGACAAGAACGCTCTAGAGAAAACACAAGCAATTTAAAAACATGCACAGTAATTCGAAAAACGAAATATGACGTCGACACATTTAGCGTAGAGTAGAACATAATCTCAAACCAGAGAGTGCACACAGTAATGTAATGACGTCATTGATTCTCGCGTAAACATTGAAAATGGTTTGCGTGAAGAGTTTCTTGCATACAATTCTTCGGGTAGGGGCGAAGCCCCACCCCCCGCGTAAGAACGTCTGAGCCCCCCCCCCCCCCCTCCCCAACTCAAAAGAAATTTCCTCATCGATACTCTATAATAAAATTACCGCTTAATTAATGTGTCTAATCTAAAAAAGTGGTTTTCTTGCAATGGGACGGTAGACATGTTTTTTTTTTTTTTGGGGGGGGGGGGGGGGGTGGAGGGGTGGTGTGTGGGGGTGGGGGGGGTGGGGGACTTTTTCCTCCCCGGAGAGGGGTGGGGGGTACTTGAAATTTTCGGGGGCGGGGGTAGAATTTTCGGGGAGGGGGGCGGACACTGGAAAAAGTATATAATTATATTTCGTTGAATGGGACGGTAGACAAATTTTTTTCTGGGGGTGGGGGGTGGTGGAGGGGTGGGGGGGGTGGTGTGGGGGGGGGGTGGTGTGTGGGGTGGGGGTGTGTGTGGGGGGGGGGGGGTGGGGGGTGGTGTGTGGGGGGTGGGGGGGTGGTGTGTGGGGGGGGGGGTGGGTTGGTTTCAGTGTTTCTTTCAGACTTTTTCCTCCCCGGAGAGGGGTGGGGGTACTTGAAATTTTCGGGGGCGGGGGTAGAATTTTCTGGGAGGGGGCGGACACTGGAAAAAGTATATAATTATATTTCGTTGAATGGGACGGTAGACATGTTTTTTTTTGGGGGGGTGGGGGGTGGGGGCCGGTGTGTGGAGGGGGTGGTGTGTGGGGGTGAGGGGTGGGGGTGGGGGTGGTGTGTGGTGGGGGGTGGGGGGTGGTGTGTGGGGGTGGGGTGGGGGTGGTGTGTGGGGGGGTGGGTTGGTTTTAGTTTAGAGAAAAGAGACAGCACTATCAGCCTAGCGCCCGTTGTACCCTTCCTCAACGGGCCATTTTTCTCGTCTATAATAATAGTTTCGCTGTCTGTGTATGTATCTATCTATCTGACAAGAACGCTCTGTCTGACAAGAACGCTCTAGAGAAAACATAAGAAAAAATTCTATCTGACAAGAACGCTCTAGAGAAAAGACAAGCAATTTAAAAACATGCACAGTAATTCGAAAAACGAAGTATGACGTCGACACATTTAGCGCACAGAGTAGAAAATAATCTCACAGTAATATAATGACGTCATTGATTCTGGCGTAAATGGCGTAAATATTGAATAAAGAGGAAATGTTGTCTAATCTAAGTGGTTTGCGTGAAGAGTTTCTTGCATACAATTCTTCGGGTAGGGGCGAAGCCCCACCCCCCGCGTAAGAACGTCTGAGCCCCCCCCCCCTCCCCAACTCAAAAGAAATTTCTTCATCGATACTCTATAATAAAATTACCGCCTAATTAATGTGTCTAATCTAAAAAGTGATTTTCTTGCAATTTCTTTAATGCAATTCTTCGGGTAGTGGCTAAGCGCGACACCAGTGTTTCTTTCAGACTTTTTCCTCCCCGGAGAGGGGTGAGGGTACTTGAAATTTTCGGGGGCGGGGGTTAGAATTTTCGGGGAGGGGGCGGACACTGGAAAAAGTATATAATTATATTTCGTTGAATGGGACGGTAGACATGTTTTTTTAGGGGGGGGGGTGTTGGGGGGTGGGGGGTGGTTGGTGGGTGGGGGGGGGGGGGGGGTGGGGGGGGGTGGTGTGTGTGTGGGGGGGGGGGTGGTGTGTGTGGGGGGGGGGGTGGTGTGTGGGGGGGGTGGTGTGTGGGGGGGGGGGTGGGGTGGTTTTCGTTTAGACTTTTTCCTCCCGGAGAGGGGGTGGGGGTACTTGAAATTTTCGGTGGCGGGGGTAGAATTTTCGGAGAGGGGGCGGACACTGGAAAAAGTATATAATTATATTTCGTTGAATGGGACGGTAGACATGTTTTTTTGGGGGGTGGGGGTGGGTGGGTGGGGGTGGGTGGGTGGGGGGTGGTGGGGGTGGGGGTGGGTGGGGGGGTGGGGGTGGGTGGGGGTGGTTGGTGTGTGGGGGGTGGGGGTGGTGTGTGAGGGGGTGGGGGTGGGTGGTGTGTGGGGGGTGGAGGTGGGGGTTGGGGGTGGGGGGTGGGGGTGGGGGGTGGTGTGTGTGGGGGGGGGGGGTGGGGGTGGGGGTGTGTGTGGGGGGGGGGTGGGATGGTTTTAGTTTAGAGAAAAGAGACAGCACTATCAGCCTAGCGCCCGTTGTACCCTTCCTCAACGGGCCATTTATCTAGTCTATACTAATAGTTTTCGCTGTCTGTGTATCTGACAAGAACGCTCTGTCTGACAAGAACGCTCTAGAGAAAACACAAGCAAAAATAAAAACATGCACAGTAATTCGAAAAACGAAATATGACGTCGACACATTTAGCGTAGAGTAGAACATAATCTCAAACCAGAGAGTGCACACAGTAATATGACGTCATTGATTATCGCGTAAACATTGAAAAAAAGGAAATGTTGTCTAATCTAAATGGTTTGCGTGAAGAGTTTCTTGCATACAATTCTTCGGGTAGGGGGCGAAGCCCCACCCCCCGCGTAAGAACGTCTGAGCCCCCCCCCCCCCTCCCCAACTCAAAAGAAATTTCTTCATCGATACTCTATAATAAAATTACCGCCTAATTAATGTGTCTAATCTAAAAAGTGGTTTTTCTTGCAATGGGACGGTAGACATGTTTTTTTTGGGGGGGGGGGGGGGGGGGGGGGTGGAGGGGTGGGGGGGGGGGTGTGTGTGTGGGGGGGGGGTGGTGTGGGGGGGTGGGGGGGGTGGTGTGTGGGGGTGGGTTGGTTTTCAGTGTTTCTTTCAGACTTTTTCCTCCCCGGAGAGGGGTGGGGGGTACTTGAAATTTTCGGGGGCGGGGGTATAATTTTCTGGGAGGGGGCGGACACTGGAAAAATAGTATATAATTATATTTCGTTGAATGGGACGGTAGACATGATTTTTTTGGGAGTGGGGGGTGGGAGGTGGGGGGTGGCGGGGGGGTGGTGGGGGGGGGTGGGGGGGTGGTGTGGGGGGGGGGGGGGTGGGGGGGTGTGTGTGGGGGTGGGGGTGGGTGGTGTGTGGAGGTGTGTGTGTGGGGGTGGGGGGGTGGGGTGGGGTGTTTCCTCATCGATACTCTATAATAAAATTACCACCTAATTAATGTGTCTAATCTAAAAAGTGGTTTTCTCGCAATTTCTTTAATGCAATTCTTCGCGTAGTGGCTAAGCGCGACACCAGGGTTTCTTTCAGACTTTTTCCTCCCCGGAGAGGGGCAGGGGGTGGTACTTGAGGGTTTTCGGGGGCGGGGGGTAGAATTTTCGGGAAGGGGGCGGACACTGGAAAAAAGTATATAATTATATTTCGTTGAATGGGACGGTAGACATGTTTTTTTTGGGGGTGGGGGGTGGGTGGGTGGGGGTGGGTGGGGGGAGGTGTGGGGGGTGGTGGGGTGGGGGTGGGGTGGTGGTGGGTGTGTGGGGGGGTGGAGGTGTGTGTGGGGGTGGGGGGTGGGGTGGGGGTGGTGTGTGTGGGGTGGGGGGGGGTGGGGGTGTGTGGGGTGGGGGGTGGGATGGTTTTAGTTTAGAGAAAAGAGACAGCACTATCAGCCTAGCGCCCCGTTGTACCCTTCCTCAACGGGCCATTTATCTAGTAAAACATATTTCCACTAAATATGACAAATTTAAATCGTATTAACAGAATTGGTATGTCTTTGCGCATTTTTCTGTTCGCACATTTTCTAGTTGCGCATTTTTCTGTTTGCGCATTCCCCGTTGCGCATTTTTCTGGAGGTTACAGCCGATGGTGACTCCGATTTTGCGTCAGTGTCTGTATGTACATGATAACCACCTCTGATGTTTTACATAATGCTAATTTTGTATTTCGGATCGGTTTTCTTAGCTATGTTAGTCTAGCATCATATGCAACAGAATTTTTTAAGTATGCTTTGCGAATATATCAGTTTTTCAAGGATGCTTAGCTGCTGTATCAAAGTTTCAAATAATTTTTGCTAATGTGTAATAGTGTCCAAGCTTGCTATACTAATACATCTACGTTTCATAGCAAGCTTTGATAATACATCAGTTTCCAAACATGTTTTGCTAATACAAGTAGATTTATATTAAAACTTCCATCCCTGTTGTGCTAATTTATCAAACATCCAGAGGCGTAGCGAGGGAGGGGGGGTGCATATTTCCCCGGGCGCCGACCTTAGGTGTTGGAAAAACCAATTGAAAGTTTGAGGGGGGTGCAAATTGAAAATTGAAAGGTTGTTCCCGAGGGGGGCGCCAAATTGAAAGTTTGTCCCCGGGCGCCGGGAAGGGTCTCTACGCCTCTGCAAACATTTTAAACAGATTTGACAGCACTAGTTCTACAACAAAGGTCATCTGACCAGAGTGTAAGACAAAAGCTAGTATGATACAACTTACACAATACCAATTATTTGGGTAAAATATATAGGTTAAATGTCGTCCGAAATCAACTACGTGAAAGGTTAAGTTTTTGAAAAATAATCAACAGACATCTCTATTATAATAGAAACGTTAAAGTGAATTTGTTTTTGTTTAGATATGTAACATCATTTTTACAGTTTTTATCTATTTAACAAATGCATTAGTTATGCTAGTTAAATAGTTACACAAATAAATAGGTACACAAACAATTTGTTGTCGAGTCAAATTGTCAAGTTTAACAAATCAGAGGAACTAGTTCATGCATTGCATTTAAACGATACAGGCGTAATTAAGTATTTAGATTCTATTTTAGAATCAAACTACTAGCTAGGATATGTAGTTCTTGTTTAGATATTGAATGATTGAAATAATAAATGACATAATTAATTATCGATTGTTATTATACAGAACACATACGTAGAGTTCGAAATTGTCACTTTTTTTTACATAACATATATTCTCATATAATTAAATAACATAAAAAATGCAACATAAAAGTAACAAGAAAACATAGCAGGATAAATTATTTCCAGAATTATTGGATCCAGTTGAATTTCCACCGGAAATGGTTACTTTCACTTTCACTTCAATGCTCGCCCTTGCATTGTCCGTCGAAATAGACCGCAAATAGATTTCTTGACCGTCTTTGTACGTCTTGGAAGCGTCGAAAGGTTCCCACCAAGAGTCACTGACTCTCTGTTGGATCAGTAGGTCTGGGAACTCGACATTTGCTGCTATCTTATTGCCTGATTGTCTGGGAAGTTCATTAGCATAATTAATGATTTGTTGTACAAATTAATTTTAAATGTCTCGATGATGTCAGGAATGTACTTTACGAATGGAATTACAAATTATTTGAATTAAAAAATTCTTTTCGGAGTAAATCGTATTGATATTTTAAACGTTTTTAATCAGACACTGTTTTGTTATTATAAATCTGAATTTTATTCCAGAGAAGTAACAGACGATACGCTTGAGCCAAGTTGTCAAGTTACACACTTGATATATATGTCACATTTTGCTGCAAGTAATAGGCCTACACTTAATAGGGGAGGGAGTGGCCGAGACTGTTGACCAAAAGGCTTGTGTTCGAATCCGGTTGATGACAATAGAACGATACTGAGTCCACCCAGCTCTGAAGGGTACCAAACTCACGTTAGGGAAAGTAAAGACGGCTGGGCATATTTCGAGGTCACAGAAACAGGCGAACTCTACTTGCGAAAATGGACCGTCAGGTTCGAAAGGGGAACTTTTATTTTATCACACTTAATACATATGACTCATTTTACCCTAGGTAAGTACCAGACTTTTCACCCATAGGTACAAAAGTAACACACTTATTTATAAACTAACATTGATCTAGTTAACTAACAGCTTTACTTACTGACTAATATTGACCTGGTTGAGTAACGGATTTTCTTATTGAATCACATATACTTGTTCAATAACAGATTAACTTACTGACCCACATTGTTAATAAGAAACATCATTTGACTCCCCCCCCCCCTATCCTACGTCCCAGACAAACTGTGACTCACCTGGCCCCGGGGGGTGGCACCCTGTACTCCACCTTCAACTTATCCAAAATGGCCATGTCACTCCGGCCCACACCACGTGCGAACCTCGACCAATCACGTTTCATCTCCTGCTCCCTGACCCCCTTCTCCTTGCCCTCCCAGGGTGCCTTGTGCCAGGCCCGTTCTGCTATGGCCAGCAGACGTGGGAAGACCATGTACTCAAACTGGGCGGGGGTTCGTACGGTCTCAGACCACAGCTGACCCTGGAGGCCTGGAAACATTTCAGGAAACAAATTAAAAAATTTCAAGAAACAAATAAAAAAATTTCAGGAAACAAATAAAAACATTTCAGGAAACAAATAAAAAAATTTCAAGAAACAAATAAAAAAATTTCAGGAAACAAATAAAAACATTTCAGGAAACAAATAAAAAAATTTCAAGAAACAAATAAAAAAATTTCAGGAAACAAATAAAAAATTTCAGGAAACAAATTTTTAAAAAAATTCAGGAAACAAATTTTTAAAAAATCAGGAAACAAATAAAAAAATTTCAGGAAACAAATAATAAAATTTCAGGAAACAAATAAAAAAAATTCAAGAAACAAATTTAAAAAATTGAGGAAACAAATAAAAAATTTCAGGAAACAAATAAAAAATTTCAGGACACAAATAAAAAAATTTCAGGAAACAAATAAAAAAATGTCAGGAAACAAATAAAAAAATTGTTTATTATGTTGATTGCACTGAACTTTGACTATTTGTAACTGACACCATACACGTATTGATTAAAACTTTAACAACAGCTGGCAGAAAATTGTTAATATTAATTTGCATACACGGCGTAGTTATCAAGTAGAAAAATAAAGAAATTGGAAGCAGTGGCGTCGCTAGGTCGGGTGACACCAGGTTCGGTAACGCAGGGTGTGACCCCCTCCCCCCTACTTTCCTATCCACCGGAGAGTACATGTATGATAGAATAAAATAGTGTCACCCCTATCCAATTCACTAACGAATACATGTATGATAGAATAAAATATAGTCAGTTAAGTATCACCCTCATCCCGGTAGTGTCATCCTGTTTCTAATGATTAAAAAGCTATCATACCAACAGGACAATGCAATTATTTTCTCATTAAAACTAGACTTATGACGTTCCACCCCTTCAGCCTAATGTTTCAAGTGCCCCTCCCCCCCCCCCCCTCTCCGGATGAAACTTTGATGTCTGAATAAAACTTATATTCGTATAAGTAGGTCTTAAGTAATTAAAAAGCAAATTTTGCAAAAAAAAAAAAATTTAAAAAAATACATAAATAAATAAAATAAAATAAAACCGCAATAATTAAACAAATTACCTAGAATATTTTCGGGCTTTAGCAAAGGGGGACAACCAGATTTATCTTCACCACAAATATCACTTAGAGAGATTGGCTCCCCTGAACGCTGAATATCGGCGTTGAGGTAATAATCATCGGGCATAAAGGAGAAAGTCTTGTAGGCGTCAGTGTAGCGGGTGCCCCAGTAGAGGCCCCTCTCCTCGGGGCTGGGCTCCTGGGGGTGGTCCAGGTAGGTGTGGGTCACAGGTGAGAACACGACCTGGGGACACAAAGTATCAGAGAGTGAGAAAAATTCAAGGTGTTTTGATTAATTAATTAATTAGATTAATTAATTTATTGGCTTGATAATTAATTAACTGTATTAAAAGTTTAGGAAACAGACCTTGTATCCAGCGTTGGCTAAGTTGTAGGCCCGTGACCCCGCCCCCCACTCCCAGACGTTCTGCCAGGCCTGGGCTATGATTTCCTTATTGGGCAGGTCAGTTCTGTGACGAATCAAGGGAAACAACCGAAATAATTAAAATATAAAATACTTTCAGTGCAATGTTTCTTTCTGGAAATACCCCCCCCCCCCCCCCCCCGGAGAAAAAAGTCTGGAAGAAACACTGTTTCAGTGTATGTACTAGTTGTAAGTACCAGTGCTAAGTAAGCGGACGCAGGGATCATAGATTATGTGTCTTTGACATAGCTATTACACCAACGTCTCGCCTCTAGGTCTGCGTCAGTAGACTGTTGTTTGGTTAAAAAGCAGAAAAACAGAAAAGTCGATCCCAGTCGAGTTGTGTCATATTGTGACATATTGCTATACCAAGTTTTCTTGGCATATTGCTATACAATGTTTTCTTGGCATATTGCTATACCATGTTTGTGCGACATACTGCTATACCATGTTTTCTTGTGATGTCTTTTGTCCTGTTTATCTTAAACTTTAAACATAAGCAAGTTAAGTCATCTCTAGCCCGCTCCATGAACTGCCAGTCACCAAGAATCTGATGTAGAAGGGGGCCCCACCTGTTCCAGGGGACAGAGGCGTGGTCCATGAGCCCATCCTCCCACGCCCCCAGCGTCACATCCTTGGTGATCCCAGCCACGCGCCGAGTGAACTCCCACTTCAGGTTGACGTCTGCTCTCAACAGTGACGCGCATGCGCTGGAATTTAACCAAGCACCTAGCGGGAAACAAAAAAAAATGTTCAAAACATTGGGTTTTTTTTTATTCGTCTCAAAATACAATGTAACGTCATGAATAAATTCCCTTTGCACTACAGCAAAATTAGACATAAGAGTAGTGTCTTAGAACGGCATAGAGTACACAAATGAGATTATTGTGAACCACTAGAGTGTCATTACACACCATCTCTAGCACAACCACCCACAGCAAATCACAACACAATTTAGTTAGTCTATCACGAAACCGTGATATTTTTTTTAAGTTAAGGAAATTAATTTAGAGAAATTATTAACTCATTAATAAAACCTCTCTAAATAACATTTTTTGAATATTTTGGAACTAAGAATTTAGACAATATAGCGTGGTGTCATGCAGCATTACCACGTATAATCTCTTATATCATCTAACACAACTCAACTTAATAGTTTATGTCCAGTCCATAAAAGACCTAAACTTAATTAGACGAATTTCAATGCCCACTAATTGTTTCATTAAACAAAGAGTTAGTCGTGAGAGATTGCAGTGGCGCACCCCCAGCCCCCGCCTCGCGACTTCTCTGAGAGATTGGAATGAGCAATGAGTACCCTGTCACCAAAATTTGTGAGCACCAACAACGTCATGACGTCAAGATTACTCACCTTTCGCCACCTCGTCCCCGCCGAAATGAAAAACTTTTAACGGCTGAATGTCGATGTGAAGCTTCTTGACTTGCATGAACACCTCGTTGATAAAACTGGATCAAAGGTTAAAGGTGAAGGTTGTTTACTATTTGCGAATAACATTTTTAGATAGCTGATGTGTTCTTTAAAAGGACACAAAATAAGAAAATAAATAAAAACATTTGTACAACCCAATTTATCTTCATACGACTATGGTAAACCTAATATATGTACCATTAAAACTATTAGTTTGTTATTAGTATAATTAAATGGCGTTAATATTTTGTCATATAGGGCTACGCTGTAATTTCTCGCCGTGTTAGTTGAATTAATATTATTGTATTCAGTACTCTTTATAAAAAAAATAACGATAACCACCTTGTTATTAACGCACTTTTAAAAAAAAAAATGGCATAATTGGTAACTGTACATAGATTTACAATGAGAAATTCCAATTCCTCAATGAATATTGTTTTATAGAATTCGAGCTCTGTTAAAATGTTCTGAGGTCAGGAAGGGTTGACCTTTGACCCGACCACGTACTTGTAGGTGCTCTCAATGCACGGGTTGATGGCGTTGTCGGTGTAGGTCTGTACAGAGATGTAGTGGGAGGTATCGCTCTCATCCTGCAGGTCATAGAGTCTGGCATTGGCGATATCACCTGGGGGTTAAAGACAGGTGGGACTTCAGTTATGGCGTGTTAGCGTTAGTGTTAAGACAGGTAAGGGGAGAGGAACGTACGTGGACGCGTAATTCTGTTGCAGTTTAAATAAAACTAAAATAAAAAAAAATTTACCAAGCGCCTCAAGTTTCTGCTTCCGGTTCCGCATGGCGATGATGGCGGCATGGGCGTGTCCAGGCATGTCGAATTCTGGGATCACTTCAATATGGCGCTCTTTAGCGAATCGTAGGATTTCTCTGTACTGGTAGTTAAACAATTATACTACAATCACAAGTCAATTAAATGGTTTAAATTTTTTTAGCAATTTATGAGACAACAACGTAATATATTTACCTCAGTACAGAGATATTTACATCAGTAATGAAGGGATATTTACTTCAGGAATGAGATATTTACCTCAGTAATAAGATATTTACCTCAGTAATGAAGTGATATTTACTTCAGGAATGAGATATTTACCTAAGTAGTGAGATATTTACCTCAGTAATGAAGAGATATTTACCTCAGGAATGAAGAGATATTTACCTCAGAAATGAAGAGATATTAACCTCAGTAATGATACATTTACCTCAGTAATGAAGATAGATTTACCTCAGTAATGTAGAGATAGTTGCCTCAGTAATGTAGAGATATTTACCTCAGTAATGAAGAGATATTTACCTCTGTAATGATATATTTACCTCAGTAATGGAGATATATTTACCTCAGTAATGAGATATTTACCTCTGTAGTGTTGTAGTAACCACTACCGCTGTTGTCAGTGCCCGACCCTGACCCCAAGGTCGACATGACACAAGTTTTCTCCTCAAGGTCATGACATCTTCGAGATCCAATCTGATTGGACAAAGCGATTGGAAGGTTACACGGAAGGTTACATAACCTTGGACGGTCACCAACAGATCAGACAATACAAGTGTCGAGAACATTAAGTCATCCTTTAAGATGCACCCCCCCCCCTCCCCGGAGAAAAAAGTCTGGTAGAAACGCTGCATCCTAAGTAAAATAAAATAATTATGTTCCATGGTACAATGGGGTGACGTGGTCCAAGCGGTAGAGCGGTAGACTGCTAACTCAAAGTCCTTGAGTTCAAATCCGGGCTCAAGAGAGTAGATCGCTAGGTCTAAAGAGTGTTCATTATTTTTTTTAATCGTACATAGCACTTAAGTGATAAAGATGATTTTTTTTTTACTTTTAGCGTCCAATGCTTATAAAAAAAAAACAACTCTTATTTGGCTTTTTCAATTTCCAGAATTTCTAGCGTCGTAACATAGAACATTGCTAAGGCGTGTGTCAGTCATTTGGTCCCATATTTTGTACCTCGTGGTAGCTACACGATACTGACGTCATAGAAACAGGTAAACACTACTTCCTCTGTTTAGATGTATATCCAACACACACATTTACTAACACGTAACAAGTCTGGCAGCGTACCTGAGTGAGCTCGTCCAGTTCTGGAATCTCCAGACGCCAGCCCTCGTCATCGCTCAGATGGAAGTGGAGCTTGTTCATCTTGTAGATGGCCATGACCTCCAAAAGTTTCAGCACGCTTGATTTGGGCTGGTACATGAAAAACATTTTTTTTGTAAAGATTTTGGCTGGCACAAGGGAAACAATTTTTGTAAAGATTTTGACTATTTGCAACGTTAGACGTTTTTGTCTTTATGTTTTTGGCATACCACTTACAGACAAACTACACCCCCAAATATCCTGAATCCACCCAGGGCTGATGGGTACCTGACTCATGTTAGGGACACAAAGGCGGTGGTGTATAATGTCGACCACACTGTACCACTGCATGCCGAGTTCATTGAAGCTAATTAACACAATATTTTCTGTCTCATGTATCTTGGGCACGAACGGGAAAAGTTGATGATGATGATGAAACACCTCTTCTCACACAGTCTCATCACATACACATCCCCTTCAATGCCACTTCCCGTATGTTCCATTCCCCATAGATACCACTTCTCTTATATACTACCACTCTCCACACTTTAAAAAATGTAAGTGTAAACTTGTTTCAATCTGTCACTAAAGTTGACCGTGAAAAAAAAAAGTTTACCAAAAAATTTCGGCCCACGTCGACGTGCATCCCCCTGTAGGGGAACCTGGGCCAGTCCGTGATGTCACACAGTGGGATCGCCCCTGGAGTCGCTGACTTGTAGGCCAGTTGGAAGACGGTCATTGCTGCAAGGTGGAGTTAGGTCATGTTAGGGTTATAGCTGCAAGGTGGTTAGGTCATGTTAGGGTCATAGCAGCAAGGTGGAGTTAGGTCATGTTAGGGTCATAGCTGCAAGGTGGAGTTAGGTCATGTTAGGGTCATTGCTACAAGGTGGAGTTAGGTCATGTTAGGGTCATTGCTACAAGGTGGAGTTAGGTCATGTTAGGGTCATTGCTACAAGGTGGAGTTAGGTCATGTTAGGGTCATTGCTACAAGGTGGAGTTAGGTCATGTTAGGGTCATTGCTACAAGGTGGAGTTAGGTCATGTTAGGGTCATTGCTACAAGGTTGAGTTAGGTCATGTTAGGGTCATTGCTACAAGGTGGAGTTAGGTCATGTTAGGGTCATTGCTACAAGGTGGAGTTAGGTCATGTTAGGGTCATTGCTACAAGGTGGAGTTAGGTCATGTTAGGGTCATTGCTACAAGGTTGAGTTAGGTCATGTTAGGGTCATAGCTACAAGGTGGAGTTAGGTCATGTTAGGGTCATAGCTGCAAGGTGTAGTTAGGTCATGTTAGGGCTATAGCTGCAATGTGGAGTTAGGTCATGTTAGGGTTATAGCTGCAAGGTAGTTAGGTCATGTTAGGGTTATAGCTGCAAGGTGGAGTTAGGTCATGTTAGGGTTGTAGCTGCAAGGTGGAGTT